ACTCTGATGCCTACTATAGTTTTGCAACTATGAACTATAGGAATTTGGGTCAGTGGTTCTTAACCTGGGCTGCACATCAGATTCATCTGGGGAAACTTTATTGGGGGGAGGGCACTATCTCAGTCTGTTTATGCTCCTATAACAAAATGTCTGAGAATGGGTAATTTATATAAGACATAAATTTATTTCTCAGTTCTGGAGGCTGGTAAGTCTTAAGATCAACCAGCAGGTTTGGTTGTCTGGTGAGGGCTGCTTTCCACTTCTAAGATGGTGCCTTGATTCTGCATTCTCTCAGTCTAGCCCTTTTATAAGGGTACCTATTCCCACTCACAAGGGCTTCATCCTCTATGCCTTAAATGGACTAAACCAAGACAGTAGAAAATAGTTTGTAGGGAAGAAAAAAGTATGAAAGTTCTTTTGTAGAAAAAATGGGCAGAGTTTGGTGAGGGTTGTGGGGATGATGGGTCTGTCTTTGGTTCAGGAGTTCATCTCAGACTTCAGGGAGAGCTACTGTTCTCTGGATGCATCTGTCAGAATTGTCATTTATGGATCTTTACAATCCTTTGTCCTTTATTGTTTTGATATCGTTCTAATTTGTGGGTGGGGGTCCACAATGAGTCATATAAAAATAGAGAATTACAGTCACCTAAAAAGCTACCCATGGTCATGTCAGGAGGCAAAATGCTGTTTTTCTTAAGGAAAGAATGTTTGGAGTTGTGGGAAAGTTGTAAACTTGGCAGTGATTAATTCAAGCCTCTCAGTCAATTAAGTGAATTTTTATTTTATCATTTGTTTTATTTGGGAGCTGCTGCAATAGTCATCGAAAGAACATCAATCTCCTTATTTTTAAAACAAAGCAAAAACATCATTGAACATTAGGGCAAAGGACAAGAATTTCAAGGTTTTACCTTTTGACTTTAGCAAATATTTGTCGCTCCATTTTTCTTGCTGGATTTCACCATTTGACTTGTGTTCTTGCTTTGTTCCCACTTGTTCCTAATGCCTGATAATTTTAGTTTTTTCTATTTTATTTTTGATTGCTTTTTTATTCATAAATATTCTTACTGTTTTATTATGACAGGCAAAAAATAAGCAAATATATTTTCCTTGACAAAAAATTCTGTAAGTTTGATTTGGAAATGGCCCAGGAAAAGGGTCCCTTAGTATTTGGGGAATGGTGGAGGCACTTCTCACCCTTCCACCTTTTGTTAGTTTATAGATCATGCCACATCCAGAAGGAAAGTCTAGTTTGAAAATCTACAAAAGCAGATTCAGTATTTTAAAAGATAACAGTGCAAAGTGAAAAATGGCAAATCTGTGCACATTTTAGTTTTCTTAAGGAACTGCCAAAATCCTTGGAAAAATATTGGACTAATCACCAGTTTAAATGTGTAGTATATCTAGTAGATACCTTTAAAAAATATAACCGGTCTTTTCCCAAACTAGATAAGGATAAAAACCTGTCTCCAAATTGTGAAGAACATTGTGAGTATGTCCTATAAAATAAGTGTAGGAGCTTGTGTGAAATAAATTATCTTAGTATAAAAACACAAAATTGTACTTTATTTTATTTCTGTTAGTGGTAATATCCTTTTGGTTTTTGTTTACTTACTAAGTCAATATGTTATTAAAGATTTGGTTGTGTTGTTGATCTTGATTGTTTTGGAATTATTAAAAATGGGGCATCTTGGGCTGGGGTGTGGCTCAATGGTAGAGTGCTTGCATAGCATGTGTGAGGCACTGGGTTTAATCCTCAGCACCACATAAAAATGAATAAAAAAAGATATTTTGTCTATCTACAACTAAAAAAAATTTAAGTGGGGCATCTTTCACCTCAGTCATTTATTTTGAATACATTATTTAGCTAAGTGAGAACCATTTTGTCCGTTCTTTTGCTAAAGGAATTGTGACCATCTCAGGTGTATTTATTATTGCATTTTATATTAACATTGAAAATGTCATTTTAATGGTGCATGCGCCAGTGTTTCTGACTCCCATAGTAGATCAAATAAGGTAAATGAATAAAAGTGGGGTAAATGAGAAGTCTGAACCGCCTGTTACCATCACAAGTGTACCTAATTAAGAAGATCTTTGGGGTTCACCGATTCTTTGATTTCTTAGGTGGGAGAGAATATTCTGAAGGACCTGATTAAGGAATGGTTGCCATGGCAATCACATTTAAAGAATCTAGAGGAGACAATAAATCTGTGGGGATCATCCATTTTGATTGATTCAACTGGTCTTTAAAGTTCACTCAAATAGCTGTTGTTTTGATTTTATTTTTCCATATAATTCACCAAATTGATTGGAGATTGGGGATCATTTAAGCTTGGATGGTTACTACAAGTAGCTACAGACTTATGCTGGAATAATATAAATGATTTCTCTAATTTCACTTATTAGTTTTGTCAGGGTGGGATAAGATTAACATGATTTATTTTAAAGCATGACTGACCCTAAAGTGTTTGGGTTTTATTTTGGATTACTTTGCTGTCATCACATTTTGCCCAGTGTGTTTGGCTGCTTTTCTGTTTTTATTCTTTGACTTGTTCAGTATTAACAACACAATTTGTATTATGTCTGGTCAGAACCAAAGTTGTATACTACAAATTAAGAAGTATGCACAAATATACCTACCATGAGTGTCTTCAACGTCACAACCCTAACTAATATTAATATAGACAGTAAAATGATACAGAGACACAAATGCATTCAGATCTCACTGTAGGTTTTTGTCCTTTGGACTGGTTCTTGATGGAAAACCACAAACTGGAATGGAAGGCTGCCCTAGCAGGGGTCTAAGTTGGACCTCAGTTTGAGAGCCTTGCCTCCTCAGCCTTTGGGTCTTTCCCTCTTCTGCCCTCTGGAGGGTGTCAGGGAACAGGAGATGCAAGGAACTCCTTTGAAAGGGATAGCCAGAGTCCTGGTCTGGTTATTAGAAGACAGCTTCCCTGCCCCTTCTCCACTTGTAATCCCCAACTTCAAACCAGAACTTGTAGAGTTGGGGAGCGGACAGTGAAAGCAAGGAAGGCATCAGCATGGCTGAGATGTTAGGAAGGAAGTTGTGCTGGTTCTTTAAGCAGAGAACCAGATTCCTTCAAGTAGAACCCAGTACAAATTGTATCCACCCCCAGGAAAAATCAATTCCACAAGAATAAGTTGAAATACAATACTAAGGCTAGAATGTGAGGGATTCAGTTTTGTTTTGTAGTTTAAGTTGGGTGCCAAGTGTTTGTGGAAGCACATGAAATTATTATCTGATAACATTTTGATACTTTGCCTGCTATACTAGTAGTAATAATTATATATCGAATACTCAGTGAGTATCAATAATTATATATCTAATATTCAGTGAGAACCTGTTTTGTGGCAGGCACTGCCAAGGGCATAGAATGTGCTTACCTCTTTACCACTGTGAGGTAGGTTGCCATTATGATGCTCATAGAGGTTTGGCAGGTCGTACGAGTTGGGACCAGTGTATGAACCCAAGCAGTGTGACTCTGGCACCCAGGCTGTGAACAGCTGTGCCATGCTGCATTCCTGTCGCAGCTGCATACAAGGGTGTGGCATCTTCTAGAAACAGTAAGTTCCATATAAGTGGGGTATGAGTGATGGGACAGGAGACTGAACAGGGCTTTTGTTTGTACATTCCATGCTGAGTACTGGGAGGTAGAAAAGGAAGATTGTCCCTGCCACCAAAACACTTAAAAGTCATGTAGTAGAAATGAGTTATAGCATGAAACAAATAATGTCTATTTATATGATAGAATATGGAAATATTATCTCTAAGTATAGGTGGGAGGAAGACTAGAAGATGTTTCTTTGAGTTCAGGCACTTTTAAACATTCTCTTCATGAACATATTTGAATGTTAGCTAATCACCATCAGCACAAATTTGTCTTCCACTGGGCTCTTCACCTGGCAACAAGAACCCTGTCCCTATAGTTAATAGTTTTGTACATTGTGAGTTCAGAAGAGTAATTCTTAATTATGACAGTTATCATTAGAATATCTTAAACAGAGGAACCCTTTAGCCTATTGAATGGAACCAACTCTTTATTGTACAGTTTATTAAATTATTTAAATCTATAACTACTGCACTACTGCCTTTTTGATATTCAGCCTGGGTATGGTTGGTGTGAGGTGGTGGGGATTTCAAGCCTGGTTTAAAAATCCTTGGTTTATATTTGCCCTATTCCCATGGATACTTCTTGAGAGCCTCCTGTGTGCCAGGTACTGTTCTGGGCGTGGGTTCAGAACAGTGAAAAAACAGATGGGTCCTGCTCTCAGGGAGGTGATCACTAGGCAGTGTAAGACATAAAGTGGTGATGTGTATGGGCTTATGGGCAGCGTGTCATGGTGGACTGTATTTGTGTCAGGGATGGGAACAACAGAAGGCACACCTGTTTCCTAGTGCTATAGAGCCATCCACACTGAGATGAGCCTGCCTGCTAGCCTGCATCCTAATCCTGTTGTTGATTGGAGATAACTTCAGTGGTCACACAGCACCTCGTCTCCATGGCAACACCTCTAAATATTCCTCTGGTGACTTGCGTTCTACATTCTAGCTGGATCAGAGCCCTCCTGTGGCAAAATATTCTAAAGATGTTAAAAGAGAAAAAAGGCTCAACTAATAAATCTATTCTAAACGACTGAGTCATTTGTTTTGATTACCCGGGTGATTGCCAAATGTTAATTTAAAACTGAAATAGGCCATGAGCTCACTCCCCTAACAATGCTGAGTGTTTGAGCTAATACAGCTTGATAATGAGGGAGCCAGATCCACTGCCAGTGCTAATGTTATATGATAAACAGACATTTGGAGAAATATGCAGAACATCTTGGCAGTTTTCCGTTAACTCTAAGGGTTGTAAATACTAAGTAGAATGTGTTATCATGAGCCATTTCAAAGGAAGTTGACTTTATTTTTTTTAGAATTTCTGACTTTTATTCTAAAAAGGTAACTTTGTCTCTTGATTCTCATTTTTTCCCTAACTTAGGCAAGTGGAAGCTGTTCCCAACGGTATCCAAGCCCTTGCCGAATACATCTTGTTCTCCACACGTCCAGTGTGAGGTAAGTTTTACTAATTGCCACAGGTTCTTATGCTGATCTCCAATCTTGCAATTTGTGGTGTTAGGGGCAGCATTGTACGAAGAGCTTTATTTGTACATGAGGTTTAAGAGGTTTATTTTAATTGGCCCAACCAATATCACTGCTTACCCTAAATATTAGCTCTCTGGGGAAATGCCTTTTCAAGGGAAAATCTCATTTGCTTTGAACTTGGGGGCATGAAAAATGAGTGTGATAGGCACAACAGAATTGTTAGAAGGTTAGTTAAAAAATAAAGACCTGCTTATGTGCAGCATGAACAGTAGGGAGCAGGAAAGCTTCATGGAGCAAATACCAGGATGGAAGGGAGCAGACTCCTGCTGGAGACCAGTGCTGGCTGTATCAACCATCAGGAATATTTCTGTCCAGGGTGGAAAGAGACAAGTTGTAGGACTTCCACTGAAAAATCTCATGATAGAAACACCAAAGAGTACTTCTGGTGGGTCACATTAACCTGCACCAGCAAATTAAAAAAAAATTGCCCTGAAGTTCAGAGCAGCCCTGCTGCATTGGTGTGAGCAGCCTGATGGCCCAGAACTTTTATTTACTATACATTGGCTAGGTATCCTCTGTCCTCTTCATTTAGCCACAGTGGCTTAGTTACATTCTGTGATGATCCAGAAAAAGGGAAATCTTAAAGATGACTCACTCAAGCACAATGCAGGAATAGTTGCTCATTTTTTTGTGCCCCAGGCATTTAGAAGAGGGGATGTAGCATTTGCCTATATTATACCATTCAGGATTTGCAGTTTCATCCATTAAAAGGTTGCTGTATTTTTGCCTTTTCCACTCCCCCTTCCCCATGCAGCTATCAGACATTCAGTGTTATATTAGATATTTGTTAGATTGCCTTTGTTATGTCTGCTGGCGGAATCTATCTCAGTTTGTAAAATATGGATTGAATATCACTTATTTGAAAAGCTTTAGACCAGAGTGTTTCAGATTTCAGATTTTGGAGTATTTGAGGTACCTTAGGGATGGGACCAAATTCTAAACATAAAATTAATTAATGTTTTGGGGCTGGGGTTGTGGTTCAGCAGTAGAGCACACACCTAGCACATGTGAGGCGCTGGGTTTGATCCTCAGCACCACATAAAAATAAATACATAAAACAAAACTATTGTGTCCATCTACAATTAAAAAATATTTTAAAAAATAATTAATGTTTTGGATACACCATATTCACATGGCCTGAAGGTAATTTTCAAAATATTTTTACTACACTGATTGACCCACATAACATGAGGTTAGGTATAGAATTTTGTCCTTGTGGTATCATATCATGTTTATGCTCAAAAAGGTTTTGATTTTAGAAGATTTCAGATTTTTAAGATTTTCAGATTAGAGATACTCAACCTGTATATCTATTCAGATACACCAGTATGTTAAACATGAAAAGTGAAAAACAGGGCAAATTTTGAGGTATGTTTAATTTGAATTTTACCCATTTTATTTTTTCAATTCTGGTTGTAGTGGGAAGTCCTTCCAAGGGTCTGGGGCTTTAAAGTGGCTAATAGTAAAAATCAAGGTGGACTTTTCATCCTTGCCTCTGAACTCTGCCATATCCTTCATAAATGACTATTTACCCAGCACAGTGTTTCCAAATTAAAAAAAAAAAAAAAAAAAAACACCATAGAAACCTATCTTCCCCCAAAATCTTAGTGTTAACCCCAGTAAAGAAAACCAAACTAGAAATGGTTTGGCTCAAGCAGGAGTCTGTGACTTTGCCACCCTTCCCCTGAGGAATCCCACAGTGTTCTAAAGAGCACAGATTTTAAAAAAAAATATTTATTTTTTAGTTATAGGTGGACACAATGTCTTTATTTTATATTTATGTGGTGCTGAGGATCGAACCCAGTGCCTCATGCATGCTAGGCGAACACGCTACCTCTAAGCCACAATCCCAGCCCCACAGAGATTTAACTCTATTACTTCACAGCTCTAATTTTTTTTATTTTCCCACAGAAATAGAAACTAGTTTCCTTAAGTAAAACATCCTCCCGTTAACTTAGTTGAAAGTGCCAGCTAGTGGAATCTGGCAATTCACCTTCATTGTTTGCCCTCAGGAATTCCACGGCAATCTGCAACTTTGACAATCTTCATCAGTAGAAAACTTTGATATAGGTGTACAAGGCTGTGTTCTTAAGATGGAACACTTTAATTGAAGTTTTTCAACATGTGTTTAAAGTGGTTTTCTAATACCAACAATACGTCAACGACATCTTCACTCTGACCAAAATTCGGTATCTTTTGGGTTTTCTTTTAGAGCAATGAGTTTCCCAGATGAGTCACTTAAATGGATTATTTTAAATTCTGTTTCCTGGTGACAGAAATACATAAAAGTAATGCAGTTGCTTCTTGTGTTCATTGTTCCTTTTATGCATTCATTCATTCAGCCCTACTATGTGCCAGGCCAGAAATGTAGTGGTATTCAAAACAAAAAAGAATAATATATTTTGGTTCTGATATTTCCTCCAGTGTAGGATATCCTTACATTATTTTCCCTTTAGCAGATGAGGAAACTGAAAATTGCTTTTGAATTTTTTTCTTTATTGCATTGCCCAATATTCCCTTTCTCTACTTGGCTCTTTGAGCCTTTGATTTATGCCATCTCAATTATTATAAACATGTGCAAAATAATAAAGTATGTGATGATGATTGGGGATGCAGCTGTGCCTCGGATCCGTATGCCCCAAGTGAACATAAATGTAAACTGTGCCTTTCACACTCTATTTTTTAAAAGTTTGTTTGGAATAATTGAACAGTTTGGGAATGTGAACTTTGCAGTTTCCACAGGAAGATATATTTTTAAAATAATTGAGTGTCCCATTTTAAGCTTAACAGCATTTATCTTAGATAAACTTTATATTTCAGAAACTTGAAATTATTCCATTTGGCTGCCTTTTAGTTTATGGAAGTATTTGGAACACAGACTTGAACACATATATGAGCTGGGCTAAATATGAGTACTCTGTATTTGTACTCTAGTAATGACAATATTGTTAATTAATTAGACACGTATTTCACATCTAGGAAATATTTGTATCACTGACATATGGTCATTTTTCATTACTGATTTTGGCAGTTTTTAATTTTCACAAAACACAAAATTTTAAAAGACAGTAGTCATAGTGATTTTATGTGTGCCATTTATATTGATGTGACCTGTCTTCCTGGAGCACTGGTAGTAAGCATGCAAATCGGCACAGATGGGTTACACAGGCTTAAACAATTTGGAAATTATCAGTCTAGAGCCAAGGTCTCAAACTGGTGGGCTGGATCTGGCACACTGAGGTGTTCTTTTAAAATTTCAACTGAATTGCCAGAATTTAAAAATTGAGAGATTTCATATTTTTAAAAATTCAGATTTTTCAGCTTCTTCTCAGTATCAGAAGATCTGGCAGTATTGAGCCTGCCTTCCTGTTTGGCTGCATCAGGCTGGAGCCAAGTTGCTACTGTTTTAATTTTTGCACAGACTCTGGGGTTTGCCATAATCTCCAGCATTCTTTGAAGTCTCCATAACTTTAAGGTCAAGGGTCAGGTGCCATTAAGGGAATGTTTTACTCATGCAAGCATGTGAATTTTCAACTCCAGGTATAGATGAAATTGAGGTTGCAAAGAAAAGGTCATCCTTTTTCTCAGAAGATGGGCTTGTTGATTTTCAGGTGTACAATGTTGAGTGATGTTCATTATAAGGGGGATGCTTTATAAGATTTGAAAGCAAGCATTTCAAGGGAGGTATACTTTTGATTAAGAGAGGGAACATCAGCAGATTCAGGTGTTTTAGTTCATTCTGGAAGATTCCTGTGGACTCCCTCAGTACTTTTCTAATTCTAATGTAAAGAATCTGATGCAGGAGGTCTGGAGTAGGACTTGAGATTCTGCAGTTCCACAGAATGTTAGATTTACACTGCTACTAGTCTAAGGGTCTGCGTCTACTTGGGTAGTTTGGGGACTTTAACCCTTTAACAATCCAAAGAAAAAATAGGCAGTGACTTTTTCCTTTGACCTGAGAAAGAGAAAGTAATCTTATCAATATTATTTTGGGTTCACTTCTACTTGTAGCAAGTTAGGTGAAAAAATCAATTATTTTGAATATAATATAGCATATGTGGAAGATAAATCAAAATTTTGTTTGAATATTTTGTTCTAAATTATGTGCTCCTAGTAAAGAAGCCAGTTACATCAAAGTTCAAGAATGGTGAAGTAGAGATTAGAGCTTTTAATTTTATTATTTTTTAGAAATTTTTTAATATTTATTTTTTAGTTGTAGTTGGACATATTACCTTTATTTTATTTATTTATTTTTACATGGTATTGAGGATTGAACCAAGGGCCTCACACGTGCTAGGCAAGCACTCTACCACTGAGTCACAATCCCAGCCCCTTTAATTTTATTATATAAGGCAATATACTTATGGGGCTCTTAGCTTGTAAAAAAGTTCACAGAAAATAGAATTATTATCAACTCTCTGGATATATAATAATGTCATAAGCTATATGATAACAGAAAAAGGCAGCAAGGAATAAATCAACACATTAAAATAAATACAACTCTATCATAAAAAAGTATAATTAAAATGAAAAGTAAGCCATGAAAAATTTACTGTACATAGGAAAAGATAATTAAGTTCTATATTATGCAGAACTCCTTCTGATAGTAAGAAAGGCATACAGGGGCCTGATGTGAGGTAGATGCTCCATACCAGTTGGCTGAATGTATTCTCTAGGAGGTAGATGGGTAAAAAATATTCATATTACATCACAAAAATAAATGCCTGGAAAAAGGTTTAGCCTTACTAGGTGTAAAGACAAGTAAACTCAAATATCAATAAGGTACACTTTTCACCAATTGAATCAACAAAAACAAAAAGAAAACAATGTTAATATGATTATTTGAGACAGACACACATATAATTATTGCTCGTAGCTTTATAGGTTGGCACAAAGCCTTTTGAAGCATT